TGGTATATCATCTGGACCACAAGCATTTCTAATTTTAGCATTATTTATAGCATGTTCTACTTTTTCATACTATTTCATAATTTCTGAGCCGTCAGTCCAGTTTTGGTAGAATTAGGCAATATTATTCCTGTCATCTTCAAACAACTCTAGCACATTAAATAAGTCGTGTTTAGATATTATTATCTCCTCTATTATAATCCTCTATTTCGTCGCACCTTTCTCTCATCCATTTTTCTTTGGCTAATTTGATCTCTTTATTTATTCTTTTCTGCCGGTGTCTATATTCTGTTACATTAGATTTTATTACCATTATTACCATTTATTACCATTGTTTGTGGAGATTTCGTTAACTTGGTTTTTAAATTCACCCCATAGTTCTTCTGGATCTTCTAGTTGTTATCCGATGTTTTTTCGTAATTCGTTTTAACCTTAGTTTAATATCTGCTACGAGTGGTTGATGATCAGATCCAATATCTGCCCCAGGATATGTAGTGACTTTTTTGACGGCATTTCGGAAACGCTCATTTACAAGTATATAGTCTATTTGATTTCTTGTCGCTTGGGTAGTTTATACCAGGTGTTTGCAATGATCATATAGTTTTCTTTACAGAATTCATACAATCTCTGTCCTGGAAGGTTAGGTTGTCCTAAACTATAAGGACCTACAGTCTGACCTTCCCCAATTTTTGCATTGAAGTCGCCTATAATATATAAAATTTCGTGTTTATTGAGTTTCTGTAAGATGTATTGGATCTGATCATACAACTTCTCGACTTCATCGTCATATTTTCTATCTGCAGTCTGGGCATAGATTTGAAGTATGTTAGTTTTAAATGGTTGAATATTTATTCATTATAAACAGGGTATACCTTTTAAATTAAATCAAGTAAATTATGATTAAATTTAAACCCAACTATTTATTCTCTCATTGTATGACAGACAATTAATTAAAGATGCAAAGATGCTTTATGGCATAATTAATTCTACAGTCTTGTGTCCTCAGCTACTTGAGCAGGTTGGTCTGCATATAAATTTTTTACCTCGAGCACTAAGATAGCTAATATTCACCCAGATCTAGATTTTTTTACACCGAAGGCTGAATTTATTTCTGGTCTCAGGCATGTCTTTATTTGAGTGACTGTGGAATAGGTAATCATCACTTTGATGTCTAAAACTAAATTATGCGATTAAGTTTGTGATTTTTATACTTTTTTTTTTATTGCAAACATTGTTAATCTTATTGGGCAGCAGCCCATTGAAAATAAATAAATAAATAAACTCATGTCTTCACAAATTAAAATACCTATTCCAACTTCATAAGAATTTCATAAGAGTTTTTATCCACAATTCTTTGTTTATAAAGTTTTCTATTTTATTTTTTAATTGGCTCTTTATCTGATGTATCTATTAGTAAGCCTCCTATTATTAAGTTGTTCTTCTTCTTTTCTTTCTGGCATACTTCTATAGTTATTTCTATTTTCTCCCTTTTTTGTTTCATGATCTCCTTTTCCTTTTTCAGATTTACATTTTCTCGTTTTAAGTTGTTCATTTGTAGTTTATATTAGTGAGTTATCACTAGTTCCGTTCCTATTTTGGCTCTGACATGTCTGAAATATGGTTTAAAAGAACTGTAAATAAAGTAACATAGATATACAGTTAATAATTTTATTATAGAAATATTCATACATTACTTTACAAAAAAAATACAATACTTTTCAAAGTTTATATATTGTTACCATTTTATATTATTTTTTATTAATTAAATAAATACTCATTTAAAAGAATAATCTCTTTGAAGGATTTCCTCCTTCACTATTCTCATTTAACTTCCTCTTCAATGTAGGTTTATCATTATCTCTGTTATTTCTTAAGCTCTGAGGAAGAGGCAGTTTGGAACCTATAGTGGGAGCAGGCTTATTACTAAAGAAAGGCATCTGCAAACATTCCGAACATGTTTTTCTTTTAATTGGGTTTAAAACTAGTAAACCCTGTATTAGGTCTAACAAATCATCACCAGCTGCTGTGAAGATCAACTTCAATGGGATGGCATTGAATGGTTTGAACTCTATGAAGTCTGATAGTGTCTTTAACCCAGGCCAATTTTCCTCTGTAGGATTTCCAAATACTACAATAATAAATCAATAAAAAACTGAAAAATATGGGATATAAGAAGCTGTATATTAAACACTACATGAATATATAGTATATAAAAATAAATGTCAAATAATGAGCACATTTGTTCAAGAAAAGACTGTCAGTTTGAATATACATTTGTCTGTAGGTGATCCAAAATTCACTACTAATCAAACACGGAAGTGGCAATTAACGGAAACAAAAAAAAATAATATCTTGTCATGCAATAATGTGTGGAGTCAGCATAAATTTCCTCTCCTTAGATAAATAAAAGAAAAAATCCACTTTAATTATTTAAAAATAAAGCGTCATTAGCTTATCACTGAACAAACCAACAGGAAAGCACTTGAATTATTGTTTTGTGGCAGATGCATCTACATATCTTTAAACAGTGGGGATTAGGACCAAAATATTACTAGGAGAGTACTAAATCCTGAGAGAAAATATGTAAAACAAAAATCAGCACAGCTACTTGACAATCTGTCAGAAAATGACCTGAAGCACTGTTGCACAGTGGCTGGTTCATATGAATAGAGCTATGTAGGTATGCATATGAAGAATTGATTGAAGGGGAGAATTAAAATTTTAAAAAATTATAGATAATGATGTTATACCAACAGTCTCGTAACTTCATTACCAGGTCTTATAAATATTTAAAAAATAATTTAATTACATATGTCAATGTAAAAAGAATTAATTAATTTGATATTTACCATCAAAAATCTTTGTCAATTGATCCAGATCTGATTCTCCTTGAAATAGAGGCACCCTGAGCAACAATTCTGCTAGAATACAACCCACAGCCCACATATCTATACAGGTACTATACTGTTTGGCTCCGAAAAGAAGCTCAGGTGCTCTGTACCACCTTGTAACAACTTGATGTGTATTAATCCTATTGGGGGATCCATACAGTTTAGCTAAACCAAAATCACCTACTTTTAAGATCCCACTTGAATTAACTAACAAATTATTTGGTTTTAAATCCCTGTGTAGAACCTACAGAAAAGAATAATGTTAAAATTGTCATTAAAAGTATGTTGTACATGTACTAACCCAGTTCAAATGAAGATATTCCAACCCATGAAGGGTTTGAAGTATGTAAGACTTAATATTCGCGGTAGTGAGAATTATAGTATTGTCTTTGATTATAACCTCTAGATCTGTGTCCATAAAATCAAAAACTAATGATACATTCGACATATGTCCAAAAACATCTAGAAGGCCAATGATATTTGTATGATGAAGTTCCTGGAGTAATTTAATTTCTCTGAGTGCGGTTCTATTTATTCCATCTTGGGCCTCTTGTCGACTACCTATTTTAATTTTTTTCACAGCTACTATATTGTCCGTGTCTACATCACGAGCTTGATATACTGTTGCAAATTGCCCTTCACCTAAAAATTTAATTTTTTCGTATTTCTTTAGTTTATTTTCCATTGATATCATGATTTCAATTTCATATATACATGTTTTCATATAACGAAGTTTTTCAAATTTCCTAAATATAGGTTAGGTATTATTAGTACTTGCTAACTTCACGTATGTCAGTTTCAGTTTTTATAACGTTAAAGAGGTTTTATTTTATGTTTATGAGTAATTTTTAATATAAATCTTTTATTTTTACAGATAATCTATCAAAACATCATTTTTAGTAATTAAGTAATACTTTAAATTTTGAATATATTCAAATTAAAGGTTAATATGTTGGCTGTATTGACTGTGATGAATGTAAAATGTAAAGCATAGAAATAGAAGTAGAAATAGGATAACAGCAAACAGCTGACATTTACTTTAACCTCAATAAGTTAACATAAACAACATGCCACCCATCGAGCAAAAAGATAAAAGAGGGAATCTAATCGTTATGAAAAGGAGACCAAAAAAGTGGCCTCTGATGGCGGACATATCCGGAAATGCAAAGGCGCTAAATTTAAATTTTCCAACACTTGTTAACAATACCTGTAAAATATTTTTCAGACAAGAAAGTTTTAATTAAATATTAACGATAATAGTCTAAAAAGTGACATAATTGGTAAAAAAACTTCAATATAAATAAAATTTCATGTGACAGTTGGGACAAACAATAACATAACCAAACTAAATTTGACTTTTAAACAAGGAAAGAGACTGTCTTTCCTTGTTTAAAGTGGCCTCTCAAGATGGCACTTCCTGTCTATCAATATGTTTACCCCTTCTACCTTTACATTCCCTCTTTTGTCTTATTGCTCGATGATGCCACCAAATAAACCAAAATTGTATAAAAACACTGGTAAGGCTAGCCCAAAGGCGCAAAAACCGGTGCAAAATAACATTCCGATTACCCAACCTAGCACGTCAACAACAACTACTGAAATGCCTAATCAAGAACAATATGAAGTAGAGCTGTACTGGTGTATACAACAACTACAAAAGGCATTAGGATCTGGTAAATTAAATAATAAACAAGGTCAGTTTAAAAAAATTAACATTTAATTAACCCTTAAAAGAACAGATTACAACTGTCACTTTTGTCCCCAATTCATACATCAATTAAGCTTGGATTTTGCAGTTAATTATTGATTGATTTGAGCTAGAGCATGTTATGCCTTATATTTTGCAATAATTTATATTTTTGTTTTTGAATTCTATATACAATTTATATTTCATTATTACAAAACTGTATGTGAGAACACATTAAAGTCCGTGTCAGATGGTCAAATATTTGATCAAACTAGTTTGAGCAAACTGACGGAATGACGTCATAATTACAGTTTGTTCAAATTTTAAAAATCCACCTGTCACACCGATCATTCAGATTTGATCAAATTGAGGTATTACAAGGAAATTAATTGTCGTTTTTGATTATTTTATTAGTTGCTTGGGCTTTATTTACGATTCTAATTTTTCTTATACACAAAGAAAATAAATAGGGTGAAAGGATTTGTATAACAATATGGACGTTTGACAATATATAAAACAGCCTCTTTTTCGGTATAAATCAATTATGTAGAAACATATTCCTGGCTGCAAGATATTTTAAATTTTTATTTTTATTTTATAACAAAATAGGAAGACAAATAAACCACACACTGTCAATCATAGAAAAAAATTAAATTATTTTAAATACATTACATCTAACTGCTAATTGTCATTTGACTTTTTATATATTTTTAGATATTTTTCGAACAATCAAAATTAAAGTTTGATCAAACTGACCTTGAAAATAGAAGATCCTCCATTTTTAGAGAATTGATCAAACTCAGGATGTGGACGTCATATGCTGTCAATTTTTTGGTTTGGTCAAACTAGTTTGATCAAATATTTTGACCGTCTAATACAGACCAATATTACAGTTTTCTGAATAGTTTCTCTGTGTTTAGATTCCTTGAATAACACAAATATAATTTGTAACATCTGCTATTTTATGTCCAAAAATTCTGCCTGTCTGGTCAAATGCTGTAATTTATATGCTTGTTTTTAGTTCAAGATAATACAAAAGCACTGAATATATTGATGAGCAACACTGCACCACTAGCTAGGAAAAGGCAAGTTATGAGACTATCGTTTGGGGACTACAGGCAAAAAATGGCTGCAGAGGAGAAAAAGTTATCCAAAAGTATGAATTTTAAAACAATTTGGTAACAATTTTAATAATTCTTTTTTTATTTTAGATGCAGCTAATATGAAACTGCAGCCTGCTACAACTAACAAGAAAACAGTGTTTTTAAAGAAAAGTTTATTTTCTTCCAATGTAGAAAATAGTTTTAAGTTTAACTTTAGTATAAATGAAAATGATACTGAAGAAACAGTAACTGTTAGTGATAACCAAGAACAAAATAGTGTTAATTCAGAACCTTTTCATTTTACACCATCAAATAATTGCTTTAGGTTTAATTTTGATATTGAAAGTGAACCATGTGATAAAACTGAATAAAAATGAATGTTTTGTGAAAATGTTTGTTGAACCCTCTTTGCAATGAAGCAAGTATTATGTACCTTTTTTTAATTAAAATTAAGATACAGGCAGATGAATCTGAAAGGGAATTATGCAGCTTGGTAGTGATTTGTAAGTGTATTAATATAATTATGAACCAACAAGAAAATCTTTGAAACACCAGATCTTGTATACCATTAAAACTACATTGATACTCTTATTTGGATTTTTTGAGTGCAGTAAAGTGTCAACAAGGGGAAGGTTCAACAGAACATCAAGATAATAAAAACAAGACACAAAAGGTGCTTGAACTTATGTATCGTAAGTGGCTACTTTGTTTTTGATAAGATGCAACGCATTGAAGCCAAGTTAAGAGCTTTTCATGAAGGATTTGTCATTGAAAGTTAATAGCAAAAGAGTTATTCTCAAGTAAAGTCATATCTGAAACTCAGTTATATATTTTGATGTCTTCTTTTTATAAGTGTAAACAGTTTGAAAGATTTATTCTCCAATACGTTACAGATTACTATACTTATCATCTATTAGAGTCTTCAGCACACTTTGTTCTAGTAACTTACGATATTTATATAATGATTTAGTGGAGGATTCAAATAAAACACTTTATTAAATTAAGAATTAGTAAAATATATTATAAAAAATTATTTGTTTGATATAAATTGAATCTTTCTGCTTAGCCTATTTGTTATGTATGCTGGGTAATACAAATTCAGTACCATTTTAGCCTCTCGTATCATGTGTTCGACATTTTGTAGGAAAGCCCTGAAAAATAAAACAAAAATGTTATATTCAATGAGACAACTTTTAACTATATGTATGAGACCATAATTCTGCATTTAATTATAAATATATTTAGATGTATTGAAAATTATTGTACACTTTTTTTAAGTCGATTTTAAAATCTTTTCACTTATTTAAATAATTATATTTTGCATCTATAAACTCCTTATTAATTTTCATTCAAATCCTGAGCTGTGTTTAAAATTTCAAGTCTCTAGATCATCGGGAACTATGAGATAAACATAAGCAAGTTAATAACAAGTGTTCAAACATATATTATCATTGCAATTACTACTAACAAAAGGTTCCTAGACAGAACTATTTACCAAATACTGAATTTGGTGTAATAATAGACAAGGGCAAGGATAAAGTGTTGACAAACAAACAAATAATTAATATATGTAGGGAATATTTGAATAATTTTTGGGGTTTACTTACAACATAAGAAACTAATAACGAAAAGAAATATCTTACTTTAAATTAGTACAATTTTTGGGGCTTCCATTTTGAAGACAATGAAGAATAGCCAAAGCAGCTTCATATAACTTGGTTCCGATACCTCGTGAGTTGTCACCCCTTCTGGCTTTTTCATTTTCCAACCATAAATGAAAATATTTAAACATATTTTCGGCGTCACCTAAAAAAACATAAAATATTGATTATGGAATAGGCTAAACATCTTGAAGAACTAGCACTTTAAAAACATTGTTAATATAATGCAATTTAATTTCAGCACATTGCTGTTGCTAGTTCCACCAATGATTTCTGATTCAATTAACAATTTTTATGCCTCTTTTTGTTAGTTTTCTTTTTCATATTTCACTAGGAAATGGATATTACGGTATAAATTATATACTATACAAGGTTATGTTCGATAACTATGTGTTCTAACAAAGAAATCACAAAATTTTTTGACACAAAACACGATACTCCAAATTTACTTTACCTGATTCTACATAATAGCTATAAAGTCTGTAATAAACTTCTTCAAAATCCTTATGATGTTTGTAAAGTATTTTTTCTCTAATTTTCAGACACTTTATTAAAAGTAAAAGTTGATTGGCATCGTCACCTGTAAAAAAAAACAAAAACATATCTAAAAAAGCGTCAATTTAATAATAAATAAATAGTTGCGCTGAACACATCACTTGCCATATCGTGGGCTGTACGCAATAGTGTCTTAACTCAAAAATTGACAAAATTGAGTGAAACATCCAGAGGGCTTAAAAAAGCCTTATTTATGACCTGCAAAACTGGCACAATAATAATAGGAAAAATGTCCGCTAGACGTCATCAATTCATTCTGATTTCTACCGACGTGTAAAGCATTTTTAATCATAACTTTTCCTATTATTATTAATAGGTATATACTTTTTTATTTCATTCTTCTTATAGTTGTTAATAAATACATTTTCTCATTCAAGTAACTTGTAGTATTCTTTATTGAACCTTTATTTCAGTTGACAGGAGTAGCAAAAAAAGCCAGTTTTGCTTAGTCTTGAAAGTGTTGATGTGCAATAGTGGCACAACTCAAAATAAGTGTTGAATTTAAAAGTCTGTGTTACAATTTATTAAAGGCTGCCTAATGATCTCAAAAATAAACCAACAATTTTTTTTATAAAAAATCCCAATCCATGTAGTAAAATAAATAAGACAAAATTATTGGCACACAAACTTTAAACCCTTGTTTTGAAAAATTACCAGTTTTTGTGTTGTGCCACTATTGCATACAGCCGACGATATACAGGTTGTCGTGAAACAGTAAAGAACAAATATAAAAATGTCTGAGAAATTATGTTTTGAAATTGTATTCTGAAACTGCATACTGATTAACACTTAAGAGGTAGTGTTTGTTTTTATAGTACGTCGCTCTTTGCTGACAATACTTAAAAACCGTGAAACTAAGCTACTTATCGTCAACAATCAAGTAAAGACAACAATTAGATGAAGGACAGTGATTGATCTGGGAATTTTGAGTTTATTACTTGTGACAGCGGATTTTACAGCAGATTTTCATACTATTTTCAATAGTTTCAATCAACTTTAATGCCTGCAATTTATGAATGTCCTCAAAAAAATCCATAACAATATTTATTACCTCAGTGTTAGAATTCTTGAAGAAAGTATTTATTTAAAAGCTAATAATGAGAAGTAAGAATTTATACCACCTAAATTGGCATTTAATTTTTTTGTAATTTTCTAATTGTTAAATTAAGTTACGTTTGATTTATGGCCGGTATTATAAACGACAAATAAATCGTCAAATAAGTATCTGTGGGTTAAATTTACTCTGCTAGTAAATCGGGAAGTTAATTCAATTCGGTATTATAAAATAAAACTACCAAGTAAATAACTAACTGATGAATAAAATATTTAATGGATCCAACAGAAAACTATTTGTAGTAGTTTCTTAGTATAATTACAGATGGCGCTATACAGAATATACATAAAAAACTAAGAACAAAGACGATTTATAAATTAGGTTAATTTATTTCTGTGACTTTCTGAAGTGTCAATACGTGTTTTTTTAATTTTAAATATATAAATTATTATTTAAAAATGAATAAGGCTGAGAAGAAACGAGAGCGAGGAAAAAACTACACAGAGCAGAAGAAAACCTTTTGGAAATAATAAAGCAATACTTCAATGTTATTGAAAACAAGCAACTGATGGCACAAGTGTAAAATTGAAGAACGAAGCATGGGAGGTTATCACACCGAGGAGTTTAATGGCAACGGCACAAAGTGGAGGAAGGAATGCAGGCCAGTTAATACTGCTTTACGAGAGCATTTAAAAGAAAGCAAAAAAAGATAAGGCCAATGAAAAAGTGGAAATTTACAAAACCGGTGGTGGTTCGAATAAATTTCAAGAGACAGATTCCGTTGGAGAAAAATACTTGTCTATGGCAAGTACTAGTGGAACGCAGCCAATAGTAAACATTTATGATAGTACCGCTCCATTTGATGAACTTCTTCGAAATGAAAGTGAGGTTGCAGAAGTTGATGAAGAAGTACAGGATGAAGGTGGTATTGAACAATGCATTGAACGATGCACTGAACTTGATCCAGTTAAACTACCGGAAAAATGCAAAAGACTTCAGTATGTATCAGGAGTCCCACATCACAAAAAGAAAATAAGTGTGAAGAAGATTCAGAGAAGGAAAAAATAAAATTAAATATTCTTAAAATTAGAAAAGAAAAGGAAGAGTTAAGTAGAGACATATTAAAATTAGAAAAAACAAGAAGCTAGAGTTGGCAGTTAAAGAAAAGATTCTACAACTGAAACATACATATGGGGATGAATTCGAAAAATTTAGAAATTTAATACCATTTGGTTAATTTTATATTATTGTAAATTAGTTATTAAAATAAAAATTAGTTGTTATCTAATTATTGAAGAAGTATCATATAAAAAGACATCATATACTGATATTCAAGCAATATTTAAGAGGAAATATTAAATTTACAAACCTTGCTGTGTATTCTGTTAAAACAGTGAAAAGTTAAGGAATGCTTATTTTCATCTAATATTTACCAACAACTCGAATAAGCACACAAAATTTCGTTTTGCCATCTAACATCAAACACTTAACTCACTTTAAACACAAAAAACTGAACAATGAAACTGAAAATAATGTACATACTTCGTTTTCAAATACCGGTAAAACATGAAGTGAATATGTAAATCTACGTCTGATAAGGTCCTGTATTTTTATGACTTCCTTGAAATGACATATATATCGCTTGAGAATATATATAAACAAACAAAATACTGATAGATCCCGTAATATTTTTGCCTAATTTTTCACAAAGTAATATCTGTTAAAAGTGGGTATAAAACACTTTATTATAGGTAATTTATTTGTTGTAGAAAAATTCTGTAAATAAAAATATCATTATAGTATCATAAATATCATATTCATTCAGTTATTAGTGTTTATATATTTAGTTTATTTCGTAGATTTATACCAGAGTTTAGTAAGAAAAAGTCGACACAATTAAGTTAATTATTATTTCTGTGACTATATTGAATTGTCAACACTTTTTTTTGTTAAATTTAAAAATACATATACAATAATTAAAACACTCATAATTCTTAAATAATTTTAAATAAACAATTTTATTTAATTAATAAATGCAGTACGAATGACAGCATTTCTTACAGCAAAATTATCTTGATTTCTAGTGACATATGTTTAAATTTTGATCTTCTGGCTCGGCGTGATTACTGCCATCTTCACATATCAGACACCACATCATTCCTTCTTCTGTATATATTATGCACATACACAAATTGCCACAATAATTGGAATAGCTCTATTTACAGTGACTCTTAGTCCCGTAGACAAAAGGAAACCTCCTCTTTAAGACACCAAACATTCTTTCAATTGTATTCCGTGTACGGATATGTGCAGAATTGTATATTCCTTTCAGCTGCGTTTGTAGATCATGTAAGGGAGTTAAAATATAATTTTCGGCATGGATAACCACTATCTCCCAGTAAATATGTTTCATCAAACTCATTGTTTTCAAAACTGAGCTCTTATCAGAGGAATGATCAAATACATGACTAATCGTGAGAGGAAATAAGCCATCTAGCAACTACATACATTACATTTAAATTTGCATCACAAACCATCTGTACATTTATTGAAAAATACCCTTTCTATTACGAAAAGTTTCAGCTGCATTCCCACCAGGTGACTGTATTCTAAATGTGAGTGCCATCAATTGCACCAATAACATTTGGAAATCTGGCAATGTTAGTAAAATTGTGCACAAATTTCACGTCGTTTGTGTAAAAGTCTAGGGATTTCAATAAATCTGGGTCGCAATCTTGCAATAGTGTGGCTAACTTTATGTACAGAAACTGTAGCCTTTGTAACATTGAAATGGTCACCAATATTAATTTGAAAAGACCCACAAGCAAAGAACCGAAGTGTAATTAATAGTTGATTTACAGCAGAAATAGATTTATTTCTAGCAGTCAGAGGTTTGATGTCGTCTTCAATCAACGTTAGAATGTAGCGCACGGAATTCTTCGTTAATCTAAATCTACTCTTAAACTCTTCTTCAGTATACATGTTGATCGGATTTTGTCTGATTCTAAAAACTCGAGCCCTACGCCGCCGCCGTCTTATTAATTGTTCTGGTTCGGACCGGTCACTATCAACACTAGATACAGTTGGAGAATTAACGTCTGACACTGATGATACTGAGGACATTTCGAAATATTATTAAATCTAAATATTTATGTACTTCCAAACAGAAAATGTTTATAATTTAAAACATAACCTTATTAACTATATTTTCACACCAACCGAAAACACATTGAAACTGTCATTAGTGTCATATTTACTTGTTAAATAAAATTTACTTGGTAGAAAACTAACGAATAGTTTAGTTCGCAGATTTACTTCCAGAATTAATTTACTTTGCGTTTATAATACGCAAATCTGTAGAGTAAATTATTTTACTTCCAAACTAAATTTTACTTGGCTAGTAAAATGTTTTATAATACCGGGCATTAAATGTTTTAATTTGATTCGTATAAATACAAACAATGTCGTTTTATAGCCAACATCCATTATATGACTAATATCAAATGCACTGAAATATATGATTATGAAACTTTAATAAAACACTAAAATTTGCCGTTTTTTTGTATTAATAGAAGTACTTACTTTGTAAATATTTCTGAGCTTCATTGTTGATCTTCCTAAAGGGTTTGACGGAATATTTATCTCCACAATTAAGGCAAAAGCTGTGGAGAGTATTTTGTAATTCGGGATATTGATTGTGTATATAGGTGTAATGTAATTAAAAATGGTGTAGAATGTATTTTATATTCGTTTATTTCACTTACTAATTAAAACATGTGCGTGGTAACTTATGTATATCTTATAAATGCTATATATCCCTATCTTGTCAAGTGTAAAGTGTAATGTCCCCTGACATCCGTCAAGTGACAAGTGTCATGTCATGGAAACTCCTAAAGTGTCAAGAGTAAGTAATATGACACTCTCCTCTCGTAAGGAATTACATACTAAACTTGTAAGGTTTAGGAAAAATAAAAAACAAAAACATAATACTTTACAAGTCCAGCCTAACAGGTTTTTTTTATCACCGTTGGGACCATTCGATAGTACGGGGGGCGTCATCTGAGCTAGCTGCAGTATTTGTAGTGTCTAGTATTTGTGGTAAGCAAGTGGAGTATTATTTGAATCATGTACATCATTATCTTGAACTGAACTAGAACAGGGTGCTGCTTCATTTGCGCAAAAGTATTTTGTAACAATTGGATTATTACCCAGGTCAAAATGTGTTGGTTGTATTATTAATGTACATAGGTGTATTTTCCCCTAATAGATCTGATTTGATCTATATGTCTTTTCCATATTCTTGTATCGTCTAATCTGTATAAGGTAGTGCAATTTCCCTAGTTTACGTTTGACTCTACCAAATTCCCATTTATCAGCATGTAATGTAATTCACGAGTCTCTACTCTCTCCCCCACCTCTAAGTTTCTTACCTGGGATGGTTTTGATTTTGTACAGGTGTTTTGTAAAATGGTTTCAATAAATCTAATCGTGTTCGGAATCTCTCTTCCAAACATTAAATTTGAAGGACTGACACCAGTTGTACTATGTGGTGTTCTTCTGTACTTTAGTAAGAATTTGTTAAGCTGTAGCTCCTTTCATTATTATCTCCTTTTTGTGCACGTATAGCGTTGTTTAATGTTTGTACGTACCTCTCTGCCATTCCATTTGTAGCTGGATGGTAGGGTGCACTGAATTTGTGGAAAGATTCCATTTTGCTGTATAAATTGTTTAAATTCATAGCTAGTAATGTTTGTGCATTATTGAAACTAAACAAATTTGGAATTCCAAATGTACAAAAAATTTTCCTTAGCAAGTTTATGGTAGTTTTGCTTGTCAAATCTTCACTATATGTATTTCTGGCCATCTAGTATAGGCATCCACTAGAATTAAAGTAGTATGTAATTATGAAAGGTCCTGCAAAATCTTATGAGCACTCTTTCAAAAGGGGTTTCTAGGTGATCTCCCATGGGTGTGTGTACTACTGTTTTCTTTCTGGATTATTCCTGATTTTGTTGCAGTCTGTACAATTTTTGCATACATCTTCTATATCTTTAGAAATTCCTGGCCACCAGCAGTATCCTCTTGCAAGCTATCTTCATCTTGACTATGCCAAAATGAGCAGTATGTAATTCATTTAAAACTTTGTTTACGTAGGTTAGATTGGAATAACTGCCATTTGTTGCCGAAAAATACAATTTCCTTGTAAAGAAAATTCTATCTGTGGACATTAAATCTATCCTAGCATCAATCAGTTTTCCAGTTCCTAGAGCATTGTAAAGATTTTGTAGTGTGGGGTCTCTTGTAGTTTCAAAACTTAATTCCTTAAAAGTAACAGGTAAAGTTTCTATTTGACTGATTTCAAATGATCTCCCACGTCGTAATCAAATTCAGAAGTATTATCAAGAGGTAATCTTGACATTGCATCAGCATTTGCATGGACTTTAGTATTTTTATACTTAATTGTGTAATTAAAACTTTGAAAGAAACAGTGCATAATGTTGCATTCTAGTTGTAGTTTGTGTAGGTAAATTTTTAGATGGAGAGAATATTTGAATTAAAGGTTGATTATCCACATAGAGTGTAACTCTCTACCAAATAGATAATAGTAAAATTTTTTAATACCAAAAATTATGGCATATGCTTATTATCTATTTGAGCATATTTTTGTTGTACTTTGTAAGTGTTTGTGAAGCAAATTGAATTGGTCTCTCGATCCATGGATATATGTGAGATAATACTGCTCAACTGCATATGGGCTCGCATCAGTTGCAAGTATTAAGGTAAACTTGGGTCAAAATGTGCTAAAATTTTATCAGAGATCATTTCTTCTTTTTACTGCTGTAAACGCTTCTTCACATTTCTGTCCATTTGAAAGATACTCATCTTTAAGAAGATTGTAAATTGGATGTAAAGTATGGCTCAAATTTTGTAAGAACCGTCCGTCGTAATTTATGAGTCCTACTAATGCACTAACTTCTGTCTTGTTTGTAGGTGTTTTTGCTTTCTGTATAGCTTCCATCTTTTCTTTGGTTTTATGTATACCAATTTTTGTCAATTTTATATCCACAGTAATTCAATTGATTTGCTAAAAAATTGACATTTTTCATGATTGACTCTAATATTGTATTTTGCAAGTCTGCTAAGAACTAATTCTAGTCTTTGATAATGTAACTCATCATCGGGTGCTGTAATTTTTATGTCATCTAGGAAAACTGTCACTCCTGGGATATCTTTTAAAATGTTTTCATTTCCCTCTGCCATATTGCAGGTGCACTGGAAATACCATACATTAATCTTGTACTTTATACAATCCCCTGGGTGTACTAAGTGTTAAGTATTTCTATCTTTGGGCGTACTTCCATTTGTAGGATATGCTTGTTGTAAGTCAAGCTTTGTAAACTTATCTCCACCAGCCATGGTAGAAAATAGAGCTTCAATTGTAGGAATGGGTATTCGTCTACCACTAAATGCTTGTTAAGTGTACTTTTAAAATCTCCACAAATCCGTACTTGACATTACTTTCATAACTGGTACTATAGGTGTAGCATATTCAGAACTATTAACTTTTTCTAAAATACCTTCTTTTTCTAATTCGTAAGTTCTTGTTCCACTTTTGGTAATAACGCATATGGTATCTTCCTTGCTTTAATAAAGAAAGGTGAAGTGGTTGGTTTAACTTTTAATGTGGCTTGTAAGCCTTGAATTTTGCCATGCTTTCATGGAAAACTACCGAATATTTTGTAAGTACATTGTTAAGTTTTGTATTTGTAAATTCAGATACTTCTGAAATGTTATTAAAGATTATATCTAACTGGCGTATCCATTCCCTACCCATTAATGGTGGTCTATCTGAATTTACTATGTACATATATAAAAATTTTGTATCTCCCTTTGTACTTGACATTCACCTCTGTAACACCCACCACATCTAATGCCTGTTTGCAATATGAAACTAATTTTAACATTTGTATTTTGTAATTTTAAATTAGGAAAATATGTTTTAAAATCATTCAAATTTAATAATGCTAACAGCTGCACCTGAATCTATTTCAAAAGATAGGCTTACCTTGTTGACTTCAACTGAAATTGTAAATTTTTCCCTGTAGTGTGAATGATCTGAATGAATGTTGAAAATTTCTTCCACTTGATCTACCTGATTTGAACTTTTACTTTTCATGCATACTTTTGCTCAGATGACTCCTCGTTTTACATTTGCTACAGACTAAATGTGTTTTATTACATTTGTTTGCAATATGTTGTGAAGATCCGCATCTAAAACAAAATATATTTTTAGCTTGGTTATGAATATCATTTCTTTTCCCATTTGTAGGTTGTATGTGTCCTTGTTTATTTTGACACTAGAAACTTTATTTATATTTGCACTTGTATTTGACTTCTGTAATCGAGCTGCATCTCGGGTTGATGTCTCCATGCTGACGGCAACTTCTAATGCTCTCTCTATCGTAAGGTCCTTGTATTCTAGGAGTCTGCTTTGAATATTTTGGTTTCGAAGACCAAATACGAATTGGTTTCTCAGGGCTTTGTTTAAATAATCCCCAAATTTGCAAGTTGTGGCTAATCTTCGTAAAGCTGTAATGTAATTCATTGGCACTTTCCCCCTTCATGTTGTTTTCTTTGTGAAAATCTGAAATTTTCCACTATTTCCAACGGTTCAGGGTTGTAATGTAGTTTCATTGTATTTACCAGTTCATCATATGATTTCTCGTCTGGTTTTTCCGGTGAAATCTTGTCACAAAGAATATCATATGCATCTGGACCCATGTAATGTAGAAGGTATGCGGCTTTCTTGTCTTCTGGTACTGCAAAAACATTGAATGCACTCTGAAGACGTTGTAACCACCGGTCAAATTCTTGGATGTATCGTAAGTTTCAATGCTAAATACGGTATGAACTGAATGAATTGTAGTCTCAGTCATCCTTTTAATGTATGTGTAGTTGTAAATCAGACAGGATTTCACTTATGGATGTAGATTTGTAAATTTTCACTGGTTCACCACGCTGCAGTTAGGTTATGTATGTATACTGGCCTATTTCCTTGTAGATTCGACGTCCTCGTCGCCAAACTGTTGTGTATATAGGTGTAATGTAATTAAAATGGTGTAGAATGTATTTTTATATTCGTTTATTTCACTTACTAATTAAACATGTGCGTGGTAACTTATGTATATCTTATATGCTATATATCCCTATCTGTCAAGTGTAAAGTGTATTGTCCCCTGACATCCGTCAAGTGACAAGTGTCATGTCATGGAACTCCTAAAGGTCAAGAGTCAAGTATATGACAGGAATCAAGCCTTTGCATTTCGGACACAAATAACTATCCAGCATATCCTAAAAAATATTTTGGAATTAAATAAAAACGAATAACCAAAAAATGAAGATGTAATAAAGAAATATGTTTCAAATAAATTTACAAAATGTATTTTCAGCCAAGTTAGAGTTCAGAAGTCCATACTAAGACCCTGCATATATTCAAATTGGAAGGATAATGATGTTACATTAAAAGTATATATTAATGACTAGAATGCGGATTAAACCCAGTTCCAGAAGAAAAGTTGTTGAGTGGTTCTATCTGATTGCGCGCACTATATGATAAAACTAGGACAGAACCTTAAAGTATTTTACCCCAATTTGGTGCATGTTTCTTGCACATGTCTTCTGCACTGGATAAACCGAGTAGCAGAAACCATCAGAACAGAATTTCCGTTCCTCTAAGACTGCAGATGTATAGGGCAGACTGCCTGGAGTTAGTTTAACACCAGAAACCTGTAATTACCAGATGGAGAACGTGGATTAACGCGGCTATATTCTACGCTGAACACGGAGGACGAAGCTCAGAGTGTAGTTCAAAGTAATGACTTGTTACAAAGTGCAAGTGTAGCTAGAGATTTACTTTTTATTAAAGTTAATTTTGGCTTTATACCAGATATGATCACGTCGTTAAAGAGTGGAGAATTAAGTTTAAGAGAGTCCATTAGTACCATTGAAACTTTTATGGCTAAGTGTGGCAACGGTCCGGGTAAAGTTGGAGATCAAATAAGGCGCAAAGCGGAAGTGACTTTAACAAAGAATGAAGGGTTTAAATTTTTAAAAATAGACAAAAATATCTACGAAAATAAGTCTTTTGACAAACATGTTAAATGGCCTTATAGTATACTGCCAAAACTTCAATATTGTCCAATTACGTCAGTAGACGTTGAAAGAACCATTTCTGTCAATACATTTTTACTGATAGAAGTCAATAATAGGGAACTTGCATAAAATTTTAATTCGAAAAAAATGTCTTAAATCATAACAAAACATAATTTAAAATATATATCAAACAAAAAAAAGTTGTTTTTGTCTTTAGTTTGGCCCTAAAAGCCATTAAAATCGAGAGAAAATTCAAATTATAGCAGCCAGTCCAAAACGCGTCCTCATTGGTCGTGACGTCATATAGTCAGAATGTTCAAAGATTGGCACTATTAATTCATTACGTTTTGACATTCGTTTACTTGTTATAGTAATTTTATGGTGTATTTCAGTTTTATAAATCTTTAGATAGTTGCTGTGAACTATATATTTAATAATATTTGAGTGTTTTTGTTCAGTATATTTTTTTTAAATGGCCGAAGAGGGTTTTTCCAAAGGCCAGTCTGATAACTTGCCCATTGTAAATATGTTTATGGTAGCCACATATTTTCAAAACGGTGAAAATTTTTCCCTGGGAGAAGTTCGGGGAGTTAAAGCAGATAAGTAAGTACATATACTCCTATTACATTAATTTTATTGTGATTATTATTCTCATAATAAGTATTTAATGATAAAACTTAGTACTTTATATTAAGTAGTGTCAATATTATATGTTTATGCTATTGTACTGAAATTTAATCAAATTAACTTATTCATCGTTTGCATTTAGATCTGGCAGATAATCACATGGAGATGCAGCTGTAGGATGGGTTCAAGTAAAAAGAAATAACATGATCTGTACTGTACTGGTAATCTAATAAATATTTTGTTGGGAGTTTTAATGGTTGTATTTTTACACAATGGTACTAAACAACACTTGTAGTATTTACTTTTACTTTCCATAGTAAAAAACACACACAATTCAACACTCTCTATTCAAAAACTGTATCAAACACCAATATAAACAAAAATAGTTTATAACTTTTATACAAGACAGAAGACCTGACATACAGACAATACCACCAAGTGACATCACAAGGGTTCGCGCGCTTTTTCGATCGTTTGAAATGATTTTTATACACGGAAGATTTTAAATTTGTATTGCTAAGTCATTATGAGTTTTTGAGGCGTGAAATTTTGGAAATCTTATTTTTAAATGAAACTGAACGTTATTATATAATAAAAAAAAATGTGCAAGTTCCCTATTATTACTGAAAAACTTCGAAAAGTATTTTATTGTAATTAATGCCTTTTATAGTATTTCCAAACGAGAAATTGTATAATATTGTAATACTTTTTTGTACCACTTTAAAATAGTAAAGAATTATAAGTGACTGTTTTTCTTATTGACTGTCTATTTTTCAAAATAAAAACCAATTTTTGAACATAGGGTACTTTTTGCACCCTACTTTGTTCTATTACATCATTAAATTTTATTACATAATGGATTTTCTAATAAAAGTCAATATTTGTGCATATTTTCGTGAAAAAAGATGCATATATATGCGCATATTTTTTCAAAAAAATGTTGCATAATATATTCCGCGCTCAATTAATGACCGAGGATAAAGATGCACGTCCCTACTGTACCTTAGAACACTGTGGAATAAACATTTTACATATGAGCAACTTTTTAGTAACGTAATGTGATAGTTTTAGATATTTTAACGCTTCCACTTACCACTTCTTTTGAAGGATCGCTGCATATAATACATTTGCATTCGAAATGGTACAAGCTCTTGCACGCTATCTGACGCTGTTCTCGATTCATTCCACGGTAATCGATACCGTAACAGTTATATACCTCTTCGTTTTCTTGTATATCTTCTAGAGCTTTGACAATTATCGTATCACAGATAAAACTATAAAATGAGAAAACAGAATAATAAACAAACTGAATGCCCACATCTCCACGAAAAATTTAAGTGACCGGCGCATCTCCTTCGCGCAGACGATTCCGCCATGTTTTACCGAGGATTTTAAAGGGAACCAGTGTTGTATTAGTGTGGTTGTGCATGGAAAAAAAACCAGGTTTATTTGACTTACGGCAATCTAGAATCTATACAATTTTAACAGTTTAATATATAACATAATATAATTTAATAACTAAATGAAACATGCATACCCCAAATCTATGTTGTGTCATTTAGTAATCACTGACATTTGTATGTAATGGCACAAAATAAAAAACAATGAGAATGACCACTGCTTGTAAAGATAAGTACGCGCAGACGGAATCAGCCATATTTTTAACGGAACCAGTGCAGTTCAGTGAATTTTATCGTGTGCATAACAAATTCCTGTTTAATTATTTACGCATATTTTTCGATTTAGTTAAGAATCGATTAAATTATTTCAAATGTACTAAATCATTAATCTCTAAAAATTTAAATTACAGTTCTGTCGTAGCTTGTCACAAATGTCTCAATTCGAGTCTTATTGTTATTTATTCTGTGACATAACAAAACAATCAGAATTCCCACTCTCGATGGAAAAATAAGTACGCGCATCTCCTTCGCGCAGATGTTCCGCCTGTTTTAGAGGGAAGCAGTATTGTTTATGTGTTGTGCATAGAAAAATTAACCGGTTTAATTGGCTTACGGCAATCATAGACATACTATACAATTATATTGACATTGTTAAATATAATAATATAAATAAATATAATTAAACATAAATATAAACAATTACATAACCTCACAAATCATATGTCTGTGTTATGTGTTTCCTTCTAAAAAATGGCAGCGGTGCGGAAAAAACTTCAAAGGCGGCATCTGAGAGTGGGGCATTCTGATTGTTTGTTATTCTGTGACATAACCAACAAAGATACTATTTCTGTTACTTTTATTAAAGATCGTTTTGTGATACGAGTACTTAAACAATCAGAATACTCGCTAATTTCCTGGTTCGTATAGGCAACCAGTTTTACGCTATGCCATATTTAAAATTGTCTATAACAAACAGAATTCATAAATATTAGCAATCGAGCAAATAATCCTGTAAAGAAAAGCAACCTTTATTTTGACAAAACGCAATGCAGAGTTTTGCGTCCTTCTTATTTTTTCTTCGAAAGATTTCTTCAAAATGTTTAGCAAGATAACCAGCGAGATTGAATAAATAAAAGACGGTCATCACGTGAGCTAAAAACTACCTCGATTTGGCGCATAATATTGGTTATGATCGTTGAGTCAGAGACGTGTACAATTGTTTAGCAAGTTTGTTGTATTTAGAATATTTCTTTAACTTTTAATACTTTTATAGTTCTATCTTCTTCCTCAAGTGCCCGCTGTCCGTTGCGAACGTTGCGCAATTAACCATGGCAAGTTTGATCTTGTTTGCGGCGCTTCTGAATAGTTCGACCGATGTGAGCCCGAACCACTTCCGCAGAATTTTGGAGCCACGAGTGTCTTCTCCTGCCTGCCCTCCGCTTACTGTCTATTTTTCCCTGGACAATCAATTGTAGCAGACGGTACTTATCGTGTCTCAATATGTGGCCTAGATATTCAAGCTTTCTATGTTTAATTGTATTCACGATTTCTTTCTCCTTTCCGATTCTTTGGAGGTACCTCTATGTTGGTGACATGTTTCGGTCCAGGATATACGAAGAATGCGTCGGTACACCCACATTTCGAATGCTTCTAGTTTTCTCGTTAGCGTCTCCGTCAGCGTCCAGGCCTCCACGCCATACAGCAAGATCGGAAAAATGTAGCATTTAACTATACGTAGTTTTAGGGGAAGAGACAAATCCTTGCTTATGAGGAGCTTTTTCATATTGCTAAATGCTGCTCTAGCTCGTTCTATTCTCGCCTTAATTTCTATGGTCTGTTCCCATTTTGCATTTACGTTGGTGCCAAGGTACACATAAGATTCTACATGGTCAATTAACATGTTACTTATTCCGTAATTGTCGAGCAGGTATGTTGCTTTTTGCTTATCAGCATCCACTTTGTCTTCTTGAAGTTGAGTGCTGCAGGCCGTATTCCTCACTAAGTTATACACTATAAGTCCTCACTTTTATAGTTAGTAAACTGTAAAGGGCGAGCGCCCACCAAAGTGGCGTGGCAGTGGTAAGTAGCAAGTAGCACGCGTCTAGCATAATGTAACCAATGAAAACGAATGATTCCGTTTACACCAAAATGACAGTAACGTCATTCATTCTAATCATTCGTTAGGATTGGTTACATTATGCTAGACGCGTGCTACTTGCTACTTGCCACTGCCACGCCACTTTGGTGGGCGCTCCCCCTAATATTTATATTGTGATAGTGCATAGTAATAGTTTCTTGTTCTCAACGTAGTTGCAGTAGCTGTAGAAATGTTGATAAAAAATCTTCAGGAATAACGTTTCTTGACAGGTTAGTATACAAATATGTAAACAAAGTAATGGCCCGTCCTTCAGAGAATAAATTAATAGCATTGTATTATAGTATTTAGTATAATAGTAATATAAAGGTACTAATAAACAATTTTTATAATGTTTTTGAGTTTAATAATCGTATTTTTTATTTAAAATATAAATTAAAGCTTAGTAATGCATATAATTGTATTTTTAGGTTTAATCTCAAATCAATCAAAAGCCGAAAGTTTTATGATCAGAGATACTACTGACCCCAGTTTAATGATTTATCGTCTTATAATATAATGTTACACGATTTTTTAATAGCTACCCAATGCAACCCCTTTAATTTTGATTGAATAAATCATAGTTTATTAAAAATGTATTGCACTTTTTTAGATTATTTTAAAACTTCTGAATAACTAATCATAATTGTATAGTAGTTTTAATATTATCGAGTCCGGCACTGATCACACCACCATAATGGTATGATCGTTAACCACACCATCTGACGCCATTTTTAATATACACGTTAATATGTTCATAGCTTCTCCATAGATTCTAACTCGATGGCAATAACTCTGGTTTAGACATAAAGTATTTTGTACTTTATTAAAGTATCCTGTAATAAAGGCTTTATCGGGAAATTAGGAAAAAGAAATGCAGTTTAGAAGTTGATAATCATTAATTATACTAATAATTTAATGTGTTTCTTTATCTATTGTAATGTTACTGTTTATTCTTGTAATGTAATGTAATATAATTGTTTCTGTGTCAGTGGCCTACGTTGCAACGTTGTGGCCTACGTTGTCGAGACACGTAAAGCTAATAAAAAAAATAGATTCCCATTTAACCCTTTAACGTCGGGAACCGCATATACGCGCAAAGTTTTCTTGCCACAGATACGGGAGACGCATAATATTCACTTACATCAAAATGTACTTTAGATCGGGAAACGTTCGTAATCGCTTTTAAATTTGCTTATTGTATACTATTTCTAACATGTCATCGCTTATTAAATTTCACAGAGCTTCGATGAACTGCGTGGGAGTTGGAGTGAAGTCAGTACATTTGGAAAAAATGTTAAGTCATTTGTTGACGATGGTGGTACGTGCAAATTTGCTTTTCAACCACGTTACCTTTATTTAAGTATTTTGATTTAAATTAATATTTTTTTTTAACAAATGGGTTCGAAAAAAGGATATCTGACTGAGAAGAGATAAAAATTAAGTTAGTCGATGATGATGATGAGATTCAGTGGCGGAAAGACAGTGATGTATATAAATCAAAAACACATTCCTTTGCATCGTTTGCAGTAAAAAAAAAGTACGCAAAGAAACAATCTATTGTTTCCAACAGTGTGAGGTTCTTCTTTGTGTGGTACGAAAACTACCATAATAAAATAAATGTATTGGATCTAAACTTCTGCTATTCTAATATAGAATTATATGTTTTGAGTTTTTTGAATATTTTCTTTGATTTATATGCATTTTTATAAATAATTAGTAAAAAATTTATCTTCTGTACTTGTTTTTTTCAATTTTACACTTACGAACTTGTTTACCACAAAAGTCGAGGAAACGCGATAAATGCGCGAAAGTGCTAAACGGGAAGCGCATTGAAGCGCAAAGCACAAAACTCCCGTATCTGAGGCACGGCACGTCGAAAAACTGCCGTCTAGTGAAAGGGTTAATGACCCATAAACCCAAAAAGAAAGTATACTCACAAGTTCGTTACGTTTGGTCGGCACGAATGATTCATAATACTAACGGATGGAAACATTCCACAGGCTATCGTTATTAATATATCCGGAAAAAGCAGATCTGTCGACGAGTACGTCCAGTGTTCGATAATGCTGGAGTTACACGAGAGTTGAGCGATATGTTTCGTGATGAGACCACCGATGAATTGAACAAGTACAGTGGGATCGTTTTTCGGACAATTTTTCTGCTTCAGAAACCATTTGAAAAAGTCTGTGTATTTTTTTAAATAAGTTACTACGATGGCTGCCATCTGAAATAACAAAATACTCGCTATTACATATTATAAACAAATTTTTATACGTTTCTAAATATATTCACAACCAAAAATGTGAGCCAAGAAAGATCCTGAGTCAGCGGCGGCCGGCCAAGTGTTGGTGAGGTTCACCAAAAAAATATAATTAAATTGAGACAAATAAATAAAAAATAAAAGCAAACATTATTATATCTAAATTCTGAAATTAATTATTTTTTCTCTTTTAATTAATCTAAAAATTAAAAAAGATAACTAGCTTTATTAGCGGTAGGTATTGACGGTCAAGTCCTGACCTGTGTCACTAGTCGTGTACGATTCAGGAATAGGTGAATATCATTTTTGAAATGCGGAATTCATCTGCACAAGCGTTCACGGTTGCCACGGCAACGTGACATCAGCCTGTCGTTAGTGATAGCTGAGAAAACTGTGAAGTGCAGATCAATTGAAAAATAAACTATCCGTCTTCATTTACTAGTTTTAATGTGTATGTAGTATTCCTATTTTTCGGAAATTCTCTTAGCGACAATATTTTGAAATTTAGTCTATTATATAGATATTTTTTATATAGTATAGTTTATGTAGTGTATTTATTAGTTTTGTTTAGTCACAGTATTAAGTTTATTTGTTTAGTGCACTTTATTATAAGCCCATCGACTTAATGTTGTTTTGCAACAGAGCTTTAAGAAAATATCAAAATGTTGAATTTTTTTGCAACTATTACCGGAATCCCATCGTCTTTTCATAGTTCAGCAAAACGATCGTACGCTCTTGCATCTACATCGGCTAGACGGTATGCCAACAATTACATAGACAAGATGGTCGTCTAATTCAAAATTAATCAGTGTAATTATTAAAGACTGGGAAAAATTAAAAGAGGTTCTTGATAATATAATGAATTCTGAAGAGACAGACCGCAAATCAGTTCAGCTGGCTAAAGGGTTTTTAAGAGATTTAATGATTTTGAGTTCACATTTTTAGCGACATTTTTCATATAACAGATATTTTATATGATGTTCTTCAAAAAAAGAAGAATTTTTTAATTCTATTTTTGAAAAAGCAAGCACAATGACGGTCATTAATACTTCCAAACGATTTAGGTGTGATGATGGTATGAGTAAGAAATTCAATTACTACTCAATACAGAGCATTATTTTTTGAAATATATGATCATATTTTAATGGAAATGGATATACGTTAAAGATGGGCGTTATATAACGTATTCGGATAAATAACACTATTACCAATAAGTATTCGTTTTCTAAGTAATAGGTTACAGCAAACTGCCTATTACTTTTGTCACAGTGTTACTGTAACGTAAAACGCACTGGTATTAGTGGTATTCGAATCGGCATTTGTTATTTTGACGTGACAATATCGGTAATCGGTAGCTTAATAGGTAACAGAATAGGATGGTCATTGTCACCAAATTTATGATGGACTTTATGTTTTGCCACTTAAATAACTGGGAACACCACCATAAGCACGTACGATTTATTAAGACGGAGACTATGTTTATTGTTAGTATATTATTAGAATTTGCTTGCTCCTATTCTAGTGTGGTTGTTTGTAGTTAATGTAAAAATAAATTCGCGAGTGCCTGTATAGTGTATGTTAATAATATTAAGTAGTTTATTGTAAGTGGTTATTTTTTTTTGGTTATTTGTTTTGATTTAAAATCACAATGAGCAAAAAACAAAAGACAAGTTATTTGTGGTCTTACTTTAATATTACTGATAATGTGAATAAAATTGCTACATGTGATTTATGTGGGCAATCGCAAAGCTATAAAACTACTGTCTCAAATCTTAGGAAACATTTATTACGGAAACATCCAACTGTTACTTTACCATCGACCTGGTGAAAAGGAATCCACAAATGTAGATGTCATTGTTCCTTCCACTTCGAACAGTACTAGAAATGGTAACAGTGAAATGCAAATTGTAAATATAGACAATATCGCTTCCACTAGTTCGATTAGTAAATTATCAACAAATCAACCAAGTATTCGATCATTTATTTCACAACCAAAAAAGATTAGTGAAACACAGAAAAAAAAATTGGACAATCTTCTATTAAATTTATTTGTTGAAGACTACCAGCCGTTTTCAATTGTTGAAGATAGGGGTTTTAAAAAATTTGTGACTGCCCTTAATCCCAGCTACGTCCTGCCAAACAGAAAAACTATTTCCAGCTGCATGATACCAGCAGAATATGAAAGATGTTTGAATGCTGTTAGACACGAAGTGTTATCAATAACAAATGCAACTTTAACTACAGATACTTGGACTTCTACGAACGTAGATAATTATTTGGCTCTAACTTCTCATTATATATCAGACGATTTTGAGTTGAGATCTATTTTACTGGAATGCTCGGTAATGAACTCTTCCCATACGAGTCCAAACTTAGCTTTAGAAATAAATAAAATAATAAATAAATTTCACCTAAATAACAAAATTCTAATAATTGTGTCTGATAATGCAAATAATATTGTAGGAGCAATAACTAACGAGCTAAAAATGAAACATTTTGGTTGTTTTGCTCATACGCTTAATTTGATTTTGCAAGATGCATTAAAACTTATTCAAAATTTAACAGATCGTATTAAAAGTATTGTTACCTTTTTCAAAAGGAGCACAACTTCAACTGCTAAGTTAAGAGATGTTCAAACCAACATGGGACTGAACCCCAAAAAATTAATTCAGGAGGTACCAACAAGATGGAACTCAACGTACTTCATGATTCAGAGAATTTTTGAGTTGAAGGATGCTGTTAAAACAACAATTGCCTTAATAAACAAAAATATTCCAGTACTCAGTGAAGACGAGTGGAAGATTTGCTCTGAACTGGTCATGATTCTAGAACCATTCGAAGAAGTCACCAGAAATATGAGTGGAGAAAATTTTCTTACTGCTAGCCAGGTAATTGGATTCACCAATGGTTTAACATCTGTTTGCAACAGTATGAAAAATGAAGATTTAAGCACAATTTCAAATTCTGTAATTAATCAACTGCTCAAAGGATTAAAAACAAGGTTGATTAATATTGAGAATAACAAAACTATAGCACTGGCGACTTTATTGGATCCTCGTTTTAAACTAGCAGTATTTACCGATGAAATGGCAGCTGAAAGTATAAAAAGTTATTGTACTGAACTGATGGCGGACATATGGCGTAAGAAGTATCAGATAGCCGCAAGTACTTTGGTCACAGAAACTGAAGAACAACGTGAGAGTCAGCAGGAGGAGAAGCACCCAAAATTTTCTATTTGGACCAATCTAGACAAGATGATAACATCTAAGAAGAAACCTTCAGGTAATTAAAATAGTTTTCTGAATAGTTTTCAGCCGGTATCGACATATACAGTCACCCTATCCCAATGTAATGAATGAAGTGAAATTTAATATCATGATTTTTGATTTCTATCTATATTTTAGGTTCTAAAACATCCGCTGCTATAGTAGAACTAAATCGGTACTTAGATGAAGAATGCATTAATCGAAAAGAAAATCCCCTGTTATGGTGGAAACAAAATCAGTTTTGTTATCCTTTGTTGGCGCAAATTGTAAAAAAACATTTTTGTGTAGTAGCCACATCGGTACCTTGTGAAAGACTCTTTTCAAAGGCAGGAAATATGATAACACAACGTCGTACGAGACTTTCAACCAAACGAGCTGAACAACTTTTATTTTTAAATTCCAACCGTTTATTTAATAGAATAATCTTATATACTAATATTTTTTCCTCTCGCCTTAATATATATATATATAATATATATATATATATATATTATATATATATATATAATATATATATATATACAGTGGAACTCGCTTATTACGGCCTCGGTAGTTACGTCATCTCGGTTATAACGTCAATTTTTAATAGGTCCGGCCAAAAACTATTCCATAACGTTATAAAAAACCCGGTTTTTGTCGGCTAAAAATAAACTAACCCTCGGTTATAGCGTCATAAAATTTTATAGTAGGTTATCCTTTTTTATTTATGAAGAATAAAGTGCAATGCGTTTTCTGGCTTTGCGGCATTTGTTCCTTCCAAGAATGTAAGAAAGGTCTATTATCCCTTCTGTTGTACAGTTATGTTACGCTGACAATCTATAATTTCGCATTTATCAGTGCCGTCCAACACTCCTAACAGTCAAATTTTCTGTTTAGCAACAGTCGGTTTAAGAAATTTTCGCTACCGTGAAATTGTGTTCGGATCGTTTTGTTTTTTTTTGTATTTTATTTGGTAATTAGCTTTTATTTTTTAATATGGCAAGTTGTAGCACTAAAAGGAAGGTTTGACTATTAAAGAAAAAGTGCGTTGTTATAAGAGCATTTGAAAGTGGTCGAAAATTGCTGATGTATGCCGGCAATTTGGACTTGTTAATTCGACTGTCGGCTCAATCATAAAAAAACAAGGACAAAATTTTAAAAAGCCTTTGAAGAGGACGGAAACAATGTTAAAAATATAGGAAGTGCATTCGTGGTGATGTAGATTCAGCTCTACTCAAATGGTTCAAGCAGTGTCGCAGTTTGATATTCCTGTGTCCGGCCACTTTTAAAAGGAGAAAGCTACAGAGTTCGGAAAATTGTTTGGTGAAGATTTTCACATGCTCTAACGGCTGGTTAGATCGGTTTAAAGCCAGGCACTCAATTTCCTTCTCGAAAATTGTTGGAGAGGCAAAATGTGTGGACGAGAACGTAACAAGTGACTGGTTACAAAACACATGGCCACAACAAAGGCAACCATACAAAGATGAAGATATCTTTAATGGTGACGAGACAGGTGTCTTTTATAAATGAACGCCAGACAAAACTTTAAATTTCAAAAATCAAAAATGTGTCGGTGGAAAACTTTCCAAGCAAAGAGTGACGGCTTTTGTTTGTGCAAATATGACAGGTACAGAGAAAAGAAAGCTTTTGGTTATTGGTAAAAGTTTACATCCTAGATGTTTCAAAAACATTAAAACCACTACCTGTAAACTACACAGC